TATATATATATATAAAACACAAATAAGAATTTCGAAGAAAACAACTCTTGTTAAAGTTATGATGGCAAATGGTCTATCAGCAATGGTGTATCATCAAATAGTCTGTATATGCAAATGGTCTAACAAATGTCAACTCTGTAGTTGTATTTCAGCAGACAATAGAACAACTAAAATGGTTTCTAACAACAAATCAGTTGATAACTCCTGAACTGATAATCGAATCATTTTTTTTTTTATTCACGAAAAACTCTTTGTACATTTTTTATAAACCCTTAAAATTTCAAGTTTCTGAGTCTCAGAAAAGTTCGGCATCAAAGCAAAATCAAACGTGAATCAAAAATAATTGAAAAGCACTTAAAATTGAATAAACACTTTCGAGCAAACTGGAATTTAAAAAAAAAAAAGAACTATGAATTAAATTCATAAACAAATATAGCTCTTTCAGCGTGCTAAATTTTACCTCTATAGCTGCATTCCCGCGACCTTCTGACCGAGAATTACAGTATTTTTTCCAACAGGTTTAACAGTTAATAATTCTTTAATTAATGATCGAATGCTCATTTCCCCCCATCTCAATCCCTGTATACTTTTCTTTACACCATAGTAATTTCAAGTTTGTAAATCTTTGCTCACTAAAACAAAATGCAACGTTAAGGTGAACACCCAAACCAGCGAGGTCAGCTAATCTTATGATTTTTTTTGAGAGAAACACGGTAAGACTTATAAATAATATGAATTATTAAAAGCCAAGAAGTTAAGGAACATAAAAAACAATTCGATAAAATGAGAGAATGAAATATACTTCTGATTCATTATATCATAATATGGAATAATTATTAATTAAAAATATGGCAAAAAATAAAAAAAAAAATATGATTTCATGCTGGTCTGGATTGTGACTTGATAGTAGCACTTGTAAAGCAGCAAAATAGTTTGCTGCTTAATAGATGTAAAGCAGCAAAAAGTCCATACACAGTAAGAAATTCTGGATCAAATTACAGTAAAAGGTACTGGCACTCTGAATGCTTCATCCGTAAAATCCATTTTACAGTAAAAAACCATTTTATAGTAACATTTTATATCATAGTTTTTACAGTCATATTTATTTAATTACAATGATGCAGTGATATGTCAGTAAATATTACGGTATATCAGATTCCTTGCTTTTACTTTTTATGGTAAAAAAAGATTTTACGATAAACTGTTTTGTGGCACCTGGAGTGCTAGTATTTTTTACTGTAATTTAATCCGGAATTTTTACAGTGTAATTGTTATTTGATAAACTGTACGCCCATACTTCTTTTAACTGTTTATATACTGTGCATTGGAGATTTTTTAGAACCAGCTGTACAGATTAGTACGCAATTAATACTAAATCGTAAACGCTATGTTTTTTCTCTATATATTTTTTCCGAATTATAATACTCAAAGACAGCAAAAAATAGTTTCAGCATTAGTAGAAAACACTGTTTGATGCCAAGATACATGAATTATTGAGATGAAATAATCGAGATTGGTAAGCGGCAGCGAACAGAGGGCTTAGTCCCAAGTATTTATGTATTAATACCGAATATATTTTTTGTTTTATATTCCAAGTCATTCTTCTCCTTAAATAGAAAAATTTTTGAAAGATGTGCTCACATCGAAATTAAACAAATAAGCGAGTCAAAAAGTGAAGTACAATAACTTACCATGATGTGCTCTATGATGACTAGGAGTGCTGAGAAAGAACTCTATTGGTGCTGGTAATTTGCCAATAATCTGAAAAGTTAACACTTCATTAAAAATAAAAAAGATTGATTTACATTATATTTTGAAGAATTTAATGCTCACAATATATTATGTTTGATAAATTCTTCTGTAGTGTAAAATCAATTCAATATAAGGGGAAATCGAATTATAATCTCTAAAACAGCGCTTTTAAACCATTGCATTTTAGGAAAATTAAATTTTTAACACAGGGAAACTCGCAATAAACAAAACTCACTGATTTATTTAATGACTGTAATGATTGAAAAAAACCTGACATGTCTTTTTCAATCATTACATTAATGCGTACTATTCTTTGTTATTAATTTGCCAGGCAGGACTATTTCTTATTTCCTATCTCATTCTACAGTATTTTTCTTTTCTTTTTTTTTAATTTTTCCTTAATGTAGATCTCTATTAAATGTACAGTTTTAATTGTTAAACTTCACAGATTAATAATTTTGAACATGATAAAAAAATAATGTAATTTCTCGATCAAGAATAAGGCCAAAATAATTGTATAGAGCCGGCCAGGTGGCCGAGCGGTTAGCGTGCCTGACTGCGAAGCCATAGGCTGCTGGTTCAAATCCCGCTCTGGGAATGGACCCAACAAGCACACGACTTTAGGGCTA